AGAAAAGTTCAATATTACTATTACAATAAAATATTACCATATACATAGTTTATTCTTCGTAATATTCAAGCATGTTTTTATTCATCCTCCTAGTATACTTTAATACAGGATAGAAAAGATAAAATCTGTATATGTAGAGAGTGATTCTAATTTAAGATTTCAAAAACATTAATCCTCTTAATAACATCTCAGTGAGGAACAAAATGTTCAATATTGTCACTATATACCTGAGGTACAGAAAGATAAAAGATTACAAAGCAGGGGCAAGAAAAATGCAGTGGCACTTATAAATTTAAGGTGCCAAATTCAGGGCTTTATATTTAAGTAAAATTCCAAGAACTTCTTTTGCTGAAGGGGAAAATAAAGATTCCGATACTTTATTCACAGTAAGCTGGGCAAGCTGATATTAACATACCTATTGTTGTTCCGGCAATTTCGACAGCTAATGCACTCCAATGGGTCAGTCTGAGGTACTGCTGTGTACATTCCACCACCCTTGTCAGAAGGAAGGTCAGGGAAACAGAAAAGAAGAAAGAATGCTCAAAGTGACCCAGACCAGTTATCAAACAATCCCAAATCTAATGACCATATCAATAATAAATGGATAAATTCTATATGGAAGGCAACTCCCTGAACAATGTTAGCCTTACATTATTTACTTATATTCAAAAATGAATTCTGTAGAGTTCTACTAATACTAATACTGTACTTGAAAAAAACAACAGCAACTGCTATGCTTTTCCATGTATTTTTGTACTGGAAAAAGGCAAATAAATGGAGACGTTTAGTCACTTCCCTTCAGTATTTCAAATCGAATGGACCCAAAATACACTTAGTATACATCATAAACTCCTACTCATTTCGAGGCTCCAAGCAATCATGGAAGAATCGTATGTGACGCCAGTTGGAAAAACAGAGTCTGAAACCTGTTTGAATGATGTCATAGGACCAGCCCACCTTCACTTTCCTGTAATGATTTGTTAGGTCTGATGGGGTAGACTGCTGGCCAGCAGTGACTTGGGGGAGAGTATTAATATTTTGATGTTGCTTTTGGCAAAAACTGCCCAGCAATTAAGAAAAATGCCCAGATTAACACATATCTCATTGTAAAATGTTCGCTTAACGTTCACAATGGCAAGAGTACTTTGAAAATGAAGCTACAGATTGAACTGGCTTTATGGCCAGAACCAGAAACTTGCTTTCGGATAACAAACAGAACTGAATTCAATGAGGGTGGGAGATGGGAGAGGTTGTTATACTGTACCCAAACCCAAAGCAGGCCTTCAAGGTTAGGAAAAGTTAAGGCAATTGCTTTACTGAGAATATTTCCCAGTCATCTTTTAACAACAGCCAAAATCGAAGCAAACCAAAAGTACTGAACATTTCTCTCAGAATTCCTGATCCAACTAGCAAAAAACATTGTGAGAGAATATTCCTACACTATGTTCAATGCATGAAGGCAAACTCAAAAGCTTCAGAAAAGGAAGTTAGGAACTGGCAGGGTGACACAGTTACTTAAACCACTAAAAATAAGTTAATTAAATGATTCTTATAATCACTGCCATTTTTTAATTTCCTATATCCTCCCACCTAAAAGAGAGCCAGAAAACAAATGGGTTAGAATTATAGATGATTACATATAAAATAGTATCTTTAATGGGACAATAACTACTTAAATAGCAATTTATGTTTTCTAAAAACAAAGCAAATCACACCAACAAACTGTGTTCAAATACCAAAGCAAACATTAGCCTTATTTAATTTCTATGGAAACAGCATGTGCTATTCAAACTTTAATGCACTCTCTCTCTCTCTCCTTCAGTTTTCTTGGACAATGTTAGCATTTTGGACTAGGAATGGTGACAAAAAAAGTTTAGAAAGTCTGGAAATAAGCCATGTGTTTCCACACAAAATAATGAAATGATTATTCTCCTTTGGTAATAAGATACACAAAAACAAATTAAATATTTTTTTCTGTAACACATAAAAGTTAGCTCATTTTATATGTAGCTAACTTTTATAAAAGGCACTCGAGTTCTAGCTTTAAGATACCAATATATATTAGAGTTTTGTGCTTGCCAAACATAATATTTTAACAAATAATTATTGAAGTTTAAGATGAAAAAATTCTAAACATCTTCAAACTTGAGGACACTGATATGTTTAGCTGTAGAAAGGATAATGACAGAGGCTAACTGAGTGCTTAATATTATCAACTAAGCAAATAATCCACTTGATTGATGAGTAATGTGGATATTATACGATCTAACAGATCAAACTTCTTAGTAAGAGAATCTTTTTAACCAGCACGTTTGAGTTATCCTGTTCCCATTTCTAAAATGAAATGATATCAGATAATTCTCCCTGAAATGAAGCAGTTCTAAGGGTTTCTCACTCCTTATATCCAAATGTTGTTGTTATTGAATGTTGTCTAGTTCAAATCCCTTTGGAAACCTGTCACATCAGGATTCATATCATAAAATGCAAAAATCGTATCGTTAACAACAAAACACATTGGTTAAAATGAAGACAAACATATAGTTGTTCATTAAAGGACAGATATTGTATGAAATCACTACTACAAAAAAGTCAAGAAAAGGTTTACAGACAGAAAGAGACATTATTTGAAGATGAGAGGAGAAAGGAGAGTAGATCACTAACTAGAGAGTAGACACGTATTAACTTGGATTGAAGGGGAAGGCGATGTACAATAAGGGAGAGGTCAGCAAAAATGATTGAGGCAAAGAAGACACTAGGAAGAGTACAAGAGTTAAAGGCAACCAAGGTAAATACTATTGGATGCATGATCCTGCACCAGCTATACTCTACAAGTGGATGCATAGATACTCAATTTGAACAGGTGTGGGAAGGAGAAGGGAAATACATATATATATACGTTTGACAGAGGATATTTCCATATATGTATTTATATGTGCTACAAATAAATTCATGACTATAGTAGAACACACAAGGACAAATTATGAAAACTTTTTAGCGATACCAAACACCTTGAAGGAGTAAGTTGCTAGGCCTGGGGGCTCAGGACTATAGTCTCAGGGGACATAAAGGTCAACTTGGCATAATACAGTCCACAAAGTCACTGTTCTACATCTACTTTGGTGAGTAGCAACTAGGGTCTTACAAGCAACCATTTAAGGTGCAACTATTGGTCTCCCTTCCTCCAGAGGAAAGATTAATGAAGAAAATCAGATGCATGGAAACAATTAGTCCAAAGGCTAATTAATAACTTTTCAAACCTCAGATTCCATGACTCAGAGAGACCAGAAAAACTAGATGGTGCTAGTCCACTGCTGACCACTACTAAAGGGATCACAAGAAAAGGTCCTGGGTAAGGTAGGAGGAAAATGTGAAAAAAGTTTGAAATCACAAATAAAGACCAGGCATATTATTAGTCTGATAGAGACTGGTAGGACCCCTGAGAATAGGGTCCTTAGTTATCCTTCAGAAAGAAAGAAAGAAAAGACTGGAGAGAACGGAAAGAGAAGAAAGGGAGAAAAGAGAGAGAGAGAAAGAAACTCAAGACAGCATACAAGTCACAATCTGATGGCCTGCTGACATATTTTGCATGGCCTAAATAATGCTTTCAAAAATTTGAATCATTTGGCAACCTGGCAGCTTCCCCTAGATTTACAGATGTTTTGAGAAATCAGAGAGCCAAGCAACACTGGACCTCACTCTTGGATGGTAACAAACTGCTGCTCTGAGACCGTGCTCTCTAATGACCTCTGGCCTCCGTCACTCCTCACATATCCTTCCCTCAATTTCATTATGTACGTGGCCCTTTTAGCATAAGTCTTCAGACCCTGCTCTGAAGAAATCAGGTTTTTAAGTATCTGGTCTGGTCTATGTCAGTGGTATTTCCATTTCATCTGAAGACTAACTTAGTTTGTTCTTCATTGGTATTCCAGTTTCAGTGCGAAATAATTTTAAAACGCAAACTAAACTGACAAATACTACTATTATCTGACAACAGAAAATGTAGAAAAGTTATTCTGGATCAACAGGTTTCTAGTAATCCATTCTGTGAGGGGACTTCAAAAAGTTCGTGAAAAAATTCCATTACCTTTTACTTTCATTTTCCACGATCATTTGAAGCCCCCTTGTATTTCCATCCACTCAAGTGAATCTATGAAGGGGATGTGTGTGTATCTGAATATGCTGACCCTGCTTTTATACCCTGGTGCCCTGAAGCATGGGGAAGGCTTTTCTTTATAGTTAGAAGGTCTCTTACATTCACTAGATGATGAGTATGTTCAAAGTCCACATGTGTTCTGGTTAGAGAGTTAGTGTGCCCCGAGTAAAGGCTTCCATTTAAGCTCCCATTCACAAGTCCATTGACTCCATTGGAGACCTTATGATGAAGGTGTGAGCAGCCACCGCTGAGCTTTCCATTCCGTATAAAGGTCCCATGAACAGTTCCATTAATCCGATTTGTGCCAGGCAGAGTGGGGTACTCCACCATCTGCCCATTAATATCTGATCCCTGGTAGAGATAGCCTGGTGGGTCATATTCTATTAACAGAGAACAAAAGGAAATAAAAATGGTTATGATATTGAAATGGATTATCTTTTCATTTCATTTCATTAATGAAACCTCTAAGACACTACCGATATACTAAACTGTTCAGTTAAAGCTTAATTGTGAGATATGTTTTAATAACATTGTTGCTGCTATTTCCTTTGCAGCGTGGCATTAGCTATGAACTTTGAGTTAATTATGACTCTGTTAATGGGAAGAGAAATTAATCAAGGAGAAAAAAACCAAAAGAGAATTAAAAAATTGTGAAAGTTGAAGTATCAAACCACTGGCAACACTAAAAAAAGGTATTCAAGTTTCATACATTTCCAGATGCTGATAGAAAGTTGTATAAAGCAACAAGATAAAAAGACTAACTTCTGATCGAACACTTCAAACAGGGCTACACAACATTTTCAGGAGAAATGAGACAACTGTGTAGAAATTCACTTGCTATTCATATAGTTCCTTGGTCACTACTGTCAAGTTGACGTTTGTGCTTATACCAAATACAAAAGCTAATTATTCCATTTCCTTACAATAAAAGCATGTGAATGACTGCCTCAAAATTCTCATTTCCAGAAGCATGTTTAGAAAGTTAATTTAGAAGGTACAGTATATGTTTCTCAGTTTCGATATATTCTTCAAAGGTAATAGCATCTGCCCAGGCTAGATTGGGTGCCCTCTCTCTATGGTTTCTGCTGTCACTGGAACACAGGTGGTCCATTGTCAGGATACTACAAAGCAGAGACCAGGTTTATTTTATTGACCATTGTTGTTGTTAAGTGCCGTCTAGTCGGTTCCGACCCATAGCGACCCTGTACAGGGTTTCCGAGGCTGTAAATCTTACAGGAGCAGAAAGCCTCATCTTTCTCCCGCGAAGCAGCTCCATTATTCAGGACACTGTTGGGTACATAAACAAACCCAACCTAACCCACTGCCATCGACTCAGCTCTGCCTCACAGTGGCCTGATAAAGGTTGTGAATCTTTACAGGAGCAGAAAACCTCATCTTTCTCCAGAGAAGCAGCTGGTGGGTTTGAACTGCTGACCGTGCAGTTAGCAGTCCAGTACTGATCCTATACAACCACAAGGGCTCCTTGGGCACACAGAAGATTATCAATAAATTTCTTTTGAATAAATAACTGAACGCGCTTATAAATTTTCATTTTAAAATATAGTATCAGATCACAAAAAGAAAATTATTTTAATCAAATTATTCAGACAATCAGACTAATACTTTTCTTTTACTTATTTAGCACACACACAACTAAAAGGAACGACACTAACCCTGCATAGGAAAGACCAGTGAAATGATCACCAATGCTTTTAGCCTGACAGCACCATTACTCTGTCCCTGTCAATCTCTTGAAAGGCACCAACATTCTGTAAAAGTGAATCACTTCTATTATCCTATGAGCTAGTAACATGGTGTGTGCCGGCAAGTTGGTTCCAACTCATAGTGACCCTGTATAGGGTTAGAGACGCTGTCTGTCTTCATGGGAGTAGAATTTTGCATCTGTCACCTGCAGAGTGGCTGATGGATTTAAGCTGCTGACCTTGTGGTTCCCAGCCCAGCTAGTAATAGGAAATCGAAGTGAGCTGATGGAAATGCCCTTCACTGCTGGTAGTTTCTGTTGTTTTTCTTTCATCACCTTACTCTGAGCTAAAGGGGAAACAAAAAACTTTCCTCCCACCAAAGCCCCAACTTGATTGATTATTCTACTTTATAACATCTGGGGGAATCGAAAAGGTAGGAAGGTAAGGGAAGAGAACTGAGCAAAGAATATGGAAACAGCAAAGGGGCTGTAGGTTGTGTTTCAAAACAATACCATCTCTAACAGTTCAAGCAGAACCTATTACTAGATACAGCTGAGGGAGAAGATGCCACTCTGGCGCAGTTTTGGTTCATCAGGCACAAAAACAGGACTGTGCTGTGTCATTTTGTGGTAGCTTAGACTCTTCCTTTCTCTTATGCCTTTTCCACTCCCTTTGAACAGTTTGTACCAGCATGAAGGGGTTTCTACAGCAAGTACAAAACTCGTGCTTTCATAAAACCATCCTCTTTGGTGGTCCAATAAAGCCAGAATTTCCCAGCACTAAGTCACCTATTTATTTAGAGACCTGCTTAGTTTTGGCTTTGCTGTTTATTTCTACTGGGCAATTTAATTTTATGCTCCATGTACATTGGCTTACAGTGACAAGAGTTTTAAAGTCATCCACTCTAAACGAAGATCATCCAATAAGTTTTACACCATGACACTAACACAGTAAAGTGTTAGAAATCAATATTTACTCTGACAATATTTTTCTAACCCATCCTTAGAAAAAGAGAAGGAAATAGTTATGGATGACTTACTGTGTGTGGTATTTTGTTGGCGGTTTTTCCACAGACACATTGCGATGAAAACCATAAGAATGAGGACCATGACGCCTAGTACACAACCAACAATCAGATATAGCATATCACTGCTTCTGGTAGGGCTGGTTGCAGGCCCAACGTTTCCTCCACTTCCGGAGAAACTTGGAGGGGTGCTCAAGTCTTTGACAGGGTACTCAGATGCTCCAGAAACACGTTTCACTAGTTGAAATATAAAGGAAAATATGATGTCAGAGTGAATATAGTCTCCATGAAATGTTTTACTCTCAGAAGGAGGTCTGGTTTGGAATGTACTCCACTCTGTTTATACTTGTTATTGAGATGATTTGACCACCAGTGAGTCACTGAGAGAATGTGAAACTTTAAAAAAAAATAGGATGTGCCAAGGTTTTAGATACTAAACAGGTTTAATCCCGGGTTATAGAGCAATCATGAGAGTAAAGAAACATATGCACTTGATTTAACCCAAGTTGCTATGATTATCTACATAATTGTACTTGCCTAAGACTCCACATAAGTTGAAATAAAAGTTTTCAACTTACAGATGGCCTAAAAACTTTTTTTTTCAAATCTAATATACCTTGCACTAGATAAGAATCTGAAGTATATATTTCATGCTCTATCATGTGATCAATATTACAAGATATGACTTTGAACTATTAGAATATGCATAGCCAATAGCCAAATGCTATCAAGTCAACTCAGACTCACGGAAAACTCATGTGTATCAAAGGAGAACTGTGCTGCATTGAATTTTCCACTGAAATAGATCACCAGACCTTTCTTCCAAGTGCCTCTGAGTGGCTTTAAAACTACCAACTTTTTGGTTAGTAGCTGAGCACTTAATTGTTTGTACCACCCGGGGACTTCAGAACAATCATATATAATTCAAATAACCTCATATGTAAAATCTGTTGTTGTTAAGTGCCATCGAGTCAGTTCCGATCCATAGCAACACTGTATAGGGTTTCCAAGGAGTGGCTGGTAAGCTTGAACAGCCAACCTTGCGGTTCAAACAGACTTTTCAGTCTAGCTCATTAACCAGCGCCACACCAGGACTCCTATTAGTGTAGGGTGAATAAGTCAATCTCTTTTGAGGCATATGAGATTAAACAAGCAAGGGAAAGAAGCAGATGTAGGGTAAGAGAGATACCATGATACATGGATATTAAGTGTTCCAAATATGAAAACTATTTGAGTCTATGTAAATGCTGTGCTTTTAATTAACTTATTGATATTCTGGTTAACAGACAATTATGGTTCCTGTTAACTCTATAAAGAAAACAAAGTTTTCTTAGGCAAAATGGATCTTACAGGGACCATATACTAAGGATCATGATTATTTCAACAGGCTAGTAATCGTACAATACATTTCAGAAAGTCAGCCAATAAGAACTTTCAACATTTTAAAGAACTTTTTAACTTTTCACTCATCTTTTACTCCCCAGTGAAGCCAGATAATGGTATATATACTACCAGAGACAAAATTTTACTATTATAAACAGTAACAATATTGTGCTATTTTATGTTTTGTTTAGCTGGGCTCTTGAATGTCTCGGGGATAGAGATGATACATTTTCCTTCATTCTGATTATCACAGCACTTGATAAGCAAGTAAAAAATGCTTCATAGTGTGTGGCACAAAAGACAGTCAAATATATACTAACCAATGAATTTCCAGGTTGAGTCTAAAATATACATCTTTAAATGTGGATTTAACATTACAATGAAACGAATATGATTGTAATCTTTGCAATAAAATGAATACAACAGGATAAGTGTTAAACTGATGTTTCCCCATGTAAACTATTACTCAATTCACAATAAAAACTTTTTTTTTAAATGTGGATTTAATAAGTGGGTTTTGCAACTGAAAGACGCATATTTAGAATTTTTAAAAGGTTCTAAGTATACAAGTTTCCAAATTTCTAACTAAAAATTAATTAAAATTTTAATTTTGTAATTTAATCTTTCTGAGATTATTAAATGTACTGTTGAGTTGATTCCAACTCACAGAAACCTTGTGTAGGGTTTCGGAGACAGTAAATCTTTACGGGAGTGGAAAGCCTATCTTTCTCCTCTAAATTCAAACTGTTGACCTTGTGGTTAGCAGACCAATGCATAAACACTATGCTACCAGGGCTCCTAGAGATTGTTAAGCAGGGATAATAAAATCACTTGTAGCAGACACTACTGATTGTTCAATGACTATTTCCTTCTTCTTCCATACTAACAGAGAACCAAGATTGTTCAATGACTATTTCCTTCTTCTTCCATACTAACAGAGAACCAATTTTGTTAGGTACCTACACAACATGGAGTGAATCATGATCTGATTAATCACTTCATTATAGTGAATGGTTTGGGGAGGTATGTGATATGACTAAGTTCTCGTTAATAAAAGGGAGATTGACTAAAGGACTTTAAAATAGACACAAGGACAAATTAGCTTTTCTTTTTCTGCCAGTCACTGCCGCATCGAGAGGAGATGGCCAGAATTACAGCTAGCTGTGAGTGGTGCCCAGGTCAGGGTCAAGCCGGTGACAGAGAGAGGCAAGGTGGGAAACATTGGGTGGCACCGAACTGCTTAATTTTAAAACCTTGGCATTAGTTACCTACATCTGGATCTCCTATACTTTTAGAATGATACATTTCTTCAATGGCTAGGGTCAATAAAGTGGAGATTTCCATTTTACTTATAATAAATGCTATCCCCAAGGTTATTGTGACAATTAATTGTTGTTTAGACTGTGGTGCCAGGGTGGTACAAATGGCTAATGTCCTCAGCTACTAAACAAAAGGTTGGAGGTTCAACTTCACCTAGAAGTTCACTGGAAGAAAGGCCTGGTGATTTATTTCTAAAAAATGGGTCACTGAAAACCCAGTGGAGCACAGCTTTACTCTAACACACATGGGATTACCATGAGTTAAGGTCATATGGAGTCAGGTTGTCTTGACAGCAACTGGTTTAACTGGGGAAGGCAAACGCTGTATAAATAATACATTAGCTGGTTCTATTACTTATGTGTGATATCTCTGACTTTGTTGTGCTTTTTATTTGTTTTTAAAAAGACAATATTCTACAGTTAACCTATCTAGATAAGCAGAGTTGAAAATATTAATGCAGAATTAGCAGTCTCTGCTACACTTAAACAAGTCAGTTGTTGTTGTTAAGTGCCATCGAGTTGGAACCAACTCATAGCGACCTTATGCACGGCAGAATGAAACAATGTCCGATCCTGGGCCAACCTTGCTACTGTTGCCACACTTGAGTCCATCAATACTGCCACCTGGCCAATCCATCTCATTGGG